ATTAATCCCAGAGGCTCATAAAGTTACCCAGGGCAGGTCTCTTATAACCAAGATCCACCCCCCATGACGTTGGGAGACTTCTTAAGGCTCCAGCCCACCCCTGGGTCTCTGATGAATGGATTTCTAAAGTATGAGGTTCTCTTGTTAAAAGGACCATGTGTAAACATTGAAATCTATCAAAGCCTTTACCCTGCCTGATCGGTGAGAGCTGGGAGAAAGTGAGCACAGTGTACAGAGGTTCTAACCCACACCCAATAGCGGAGGAAAAGGTTAAGCAGTCAGCCTCTCAGTGACTCTGGGAATGTGCTGTTCACAGATGGCAGCTCCTCTGTACAGCACAGAAAGGTGGGATATGCAGGGATTGGCCTTGCAGGAGCATTAGTCAGGACCACTGACTCAGAATGCAGGTGCTCTCACCCAAGGGCTAACACTGGCAAGAGATAAGAAGACAAATGTTTTTACGGATTTTAAGTATGCATTCTATGCGATCCATGTGTTCATTGCAATTTGGAGAGAGGCCTGCTGACTTCTAACAGATCTCGTGTTAAATATTCCCAGAAATTCTAGAACTTATTGAGGCTGTTCACCGGCCTAGAGAAGCAGCAGTCACTCACTGCCTGGGATATCTGAGAGGAACAGATTCTGTCCCTGTAGACAACAGAAGAGCCAATAAGCGGGTAAAGGCAGCAGCTTCTGTGCAGCTAGAATGCTCACTTTCATGGCACCTGACCCATTATGTACTAGCACACCTGTTTGTTTAATTTTTGAATTGAGGTTTCCCTATGCTGTTCAGGCTGGCCTTGAACTCACAACCATCCTCCTGCCTCAGCCTCCTGAGTGCTGAAATCATAGGCATGCAATACTGTACCCACCATTACTTGTTTATTATGATAAATTCTACATTCTAAAACCCAAGCAGCTTGGCATAGAAAGTAATTAAAAGTATCTCTGATGCTTGTCATTTAGGACCAAAAAACACCTCACTTTGGCTGACTTCTTTCTGGGGGAGGACTGAAGTGATACAACAGGTGGTGAAAGCATGTAAATTGAGTGTCAGAACCAAGTCTCAAATGCCTGATTAAAAACTTCAGGAGTGCAACATGGAAGTAGTTATCCAGGGGAAGCCTGGCAGGTTGATTTCCCCCACAGGCCAGGAGGCCAACACAGCCGGCTCCTCTTAGTCCTGGGTGATTCTCACACGGGGTGGATAGAAGCCTTCTCTACCCATACTGAAAAGGCTCAAGAAGTAGGGTTCTTTGCATGAGATCATCCCAAGGTCTGGAATGCCACAAAGTCTCCAGAGTGACAATGGGCCTCCCTTCTGTTCTCAAGTCACCCTGGGAATCTCAAAAGACCTAGGCACTGAATATCAGCTCCACTGTACCTGTTGGCCTCAATCACTGGGACAGGTAGAATGGGCCGATGGGACACTCAAAACTCACCTGCTCATGCTGGGACAGGAACACAAAGCCCATTGGAAGCACCTTCTACTGTGGTCCTTCTGTGGGCCAAGACGTGCCTGGGTTTCAGGGGTGTCTCCCTTTGAACTTCTATACGGGGCCCTTCCTCAGAAATGACATCCCAGTTGACTCATCAACTGGGAGACAAGGTCCTTAGCCTAGTTCCAACAATCCTGTCCGCCTTGAGACAAATCCCAGACCTACTCCACCTAGCAAGCCTCTCTCCTGCCTGGGCCCTGGCACTAGTCAAGGTCTTAGATACACAGGACACAAGCAAACCTTGGTGGGAAGGTGCCTACACAGTGGTCTTTTCCACCCTGCGGCAGTGAAGGTGACAGGTTATATGACGCCAGGATTCATCACAACCAAGTAAAGCTGTAAACTGTCTCCAAAAGCCATGCTAAGAACACACCTCCAGGTCTACTTCAGGCCACATGGGAGCCCCCCTACACCTGTGAACCGGTGGAAGATCTCAAATTCCTCTTCAAAAGAGGAGACAAAGATAAGGGATGCTAAAAATCTAATTACCTTGGGTACTGGTGATGTCCACTTCCTTATCCCAATTTCAAGACTTCCTGTCCATTCTGTGTTAGGAAGTTCGATTTTACTCTATGGCCACCAGACAGGACCTCATCAATGCCATAATGATTTCTAGTTTCAGGGCTCTTTGTCTGACTTTACTCTGGACCAACAGAATTCTTTCACTTCTTTCCTCTCATTCTGTGTTTTCTACCAGAGGAGGACAAGGGTGTCAGTGATTGAAAAGGGCCTAAACAGCCTGCATTTCCATATGTGTTTTTCCGTGGCTTTTACTTCTAAGCCTGTCATGGCTCCAGTTCACTTATCTTTGCCTCCCCCAGCTGGGACTATCCTCTGTCCATTTTCAATGGGCCAGAGATTCCCACCAGGACCACGAGGGTGGTACAACCACGCACTCATCAGATGGCAGGAGAGCTGACCTCAGTGTACCCCAGTTGTTGGTTTTGTTTCATGGACCCCCAGATAGTCACGGCCCCACTTGGATAATAACTGAACCTGTGCAACATCCACAAGGTCTTCAGTATGAAAGATGGTGTCCAGACCCTTCACTGTCTTATCAGGAGTTCCTATCAGAGGTACTGACAGAAGGCACTGACACATTTGACACAAATACAAGAGCAGACTTCCTTCTGCCTCAAAACTCAGGACCGAGCCACTCACTATCCTGTCCTGAGCTCTCCAGAGAATGATGAGAAAGAAAAGAAAAGAAAAAACAAGTCACGTAGTAACATTTTTAACACTGTCCCTCAAGCAAAGACAATACAAATAATACCAAAAATGTATTTCCAACAAACTCACAAATGGAATTTTAGCAGTCCTATGTTTCCCCCGGGGTCATAGGGGATGGGAAGCACAATCTGAGTTTCAATCCCGGGGAATACAGTGCTTAGATCTCCGTAAATGAAAGGAAACCTGGGACTCTGGGAAGCCCCAGCCCTGATGCTGCCACTCCTTTAACCATTCTCATCTAGAGCAGTGAGAATCGCTGCATACAGGAACAGAGATGCATCTTTGTCTCATCAAGAGCAAGAGCCTGTCATCCTCGTTGTTCTAAGAAACACAGCCCTCCTGCCCGCACAGGAAAGAATTGCCCATGGCATCGCTTGCCAACTCAGCTCAAATATCCAGCTTCACTGCTCCAATGGCTGAGGGAGTCCAGGCCTCAGAGAGTGAATTTCTCTCACTGACCCTCCTGGGAGGCGTCCCACAGCACTAAACTACCTGCTACGATACATTAACACTGCCTAGTGGGTGGAGACCACCACTCAGGTTATTTTACAAAAAGCCAAATGGCTACATGATCAGCGGGTTACGGACTCTCTGGCTTCCTGAATTACATGACAAATTAAAAGATGGCTTCCATCTGTGTTCACTTGGTTATCACCTTTGCAGGGCCCTTGGACAACCGTTTTCTTGTTATGTTTATTTGGGTCACATTTTGCCAGCTTGCTTGAGAGCTTTATTACAGAAAGAATAAATGCCACAAAACTTCAGGTGCTACTTCAGATGAAACCTCAGATGGAGACCTTCTTATCCCACTAAAGCCCACTAACCCTCCCTATCTATGGAGGGATTCTGTCTGCTGCCCCCAGCAACCCCACACAGCTCCAGGAAGTCGGATCACTTGGTGTCTGTTCTCCCAACAGCAGTTAAATGGACAACTGAGTTGGGGGTGGGGTGCAGGGAAAGTCAAAGACAGAGAATGTTAAAGGACCTCAGTGAGGTTTCTGGAAAATAAAGAGTTAAACTGGGGTAGGTTGGGGGCAAGAAAAACAGAGGAAGAGAGCTGATGAGACCACCTGGCCCAACTGCTCCAGGACCACGTTCAGTCCCTCCTCTTCCACCTCCAGCTAAGCACAAAGGAAAGAATAGGGAGGGGCTTTATCATTTTTAAAAATCCAGTTAGTGTATAAAATATACACCATGATCTGGACACACGCACACCTGTATACAAGTGCATCAATACTTTATTATGCTCACCACGCCAGCACTGAAGCGCACGTGAATGCTTTTCACTAACTGGCCTTGAAGGTAACTCTGCTATAAACCTCATCTGCTGAGCTGCTGGACCGCACAGGGAGACCAGAGAAGCACACATCCTCGAATGCACACACAGGCAGTGAAAGGGGCAGGGCCAAATGAGGGGTCTCCTGGTCCAGAACAGTCAGTCGAGTTACTGCAACTCTGCAGGGAGAGAAGCCCCTGCTTTAGAACAGATCCGAGTCCAGCACTAGGTCCAAAAGTAACCCTCAGAAGTGTTTTTCAGATAGAAATAAAATGAAACCTAAGAATTCTATCCCTGAGATGTCAGTCAAAAAGGCTAATATTCCATGCTGCGTAGGGTTAGATGCAGACGAAGACAGTGTGTGTGGTAGCCACACAGTTTTAAGTGTTGTCACTAAAAAATGTTAAGTCTTTTGAAACTAGGAATACCAACTTGGCCCTGAGTTAGTTACATGCTAGTCTGAAGGACAACGGGGAGAAATGAGCTGGTCTTGGAGTGCCACTGGTACCCCCAAATGCACCTGGCATGAGCCACCCAAACAGAAGACAGGGAGCCTGGCGCCCTTTTGTGCTGAGGAGGTGCACACCCAGGCCCCAGGGGAGAGTGGCTTCCCTGAGGGACAGACAGCGCCCCCATTATGAAGCAGCCTGCAGCTGTGGCCAGCCCCACATAAAGGCCATGATTTATTCCTCAAGCCCAAACGGGGTCTAATTATACAGGGCTGGACATAGGACCCTGCAGCAAGTGTCCTGAAAGAATCCTCTCTCATTCTGCCCAACAAAACTTCTCAGGCCCCCCCCCACCCTCCCATTCACCAAACACCCCGCTGCAGCAGGAGCTGGGGAGTGCTGCGGCAGACAGCCCCTCCCTGCCGCTGTAAGGCTCATCCCCTTCTCAAACGTCCTGTTGTGTCTGTCAGTTCCAGCCAGAACCTCCCCTCCCCCCAACCGCCCAGCTTCGCCCACTCCCAGGCTCCCAAGACAGTCACACACTCAGCCTCTGTGATGCTCAATGGCCAAGGTGGGAGGGGGTGCTGCATGGGCTGGGGACACACTGGAATATTCACAGACTCTGTGGCAGCAGCAGCAACAGAAGAGCAGCCCACCCCATAAGGGACCCCTGAGGAATGAAGCAGCCTTTCAGGGCCAGAGAGGCTGCAGCCTCCCTTCTTCTCCTTAAATAGCCAGCATACCACCCGTAGCTGCAAAGAGCCCACTGCCACAACCACACTCACCTGCTCCCCCAGATTCCTGCCCCTTCTGCTGGACCAGCTGCAAGAGGTAAGTGGTGAGGCTGGGGCTGTCAGGTGACAGGGAGCCAGGGCCAGGCAGAAGCTGAGCAGAGCAGAACTGCTGCAGGGGTCCAAAGGGGTCACCTCTTGGGGTGCCTGTGTCTTAGATACCAGCGCTGTGAAAGCTGAGCCCAGCTGAGTGCACAGCAACCACAGAGTGTGCGTGGTCTTAGGTCTAGGCCTACAGAAGGCAAAGGGTCTGTGTCCACAGTTCCACCCACGACCAGCCACCAGAGAAGCCAGATGAAGGAGACTGCCCAAGAGCAGGGCTCAGGCCAAGGAGAGAGAGGAGCCCCCTGCAGAAGAAGCCACTGCTGCCTGACTGCAGTGTGAAAGGCCACTTAGCTAGTGAGCTTAGGGGAAGGCAGCAAGCTGGGGAAAGGGCCTGGGAGAGACGACAAAACTTAAAAGCAGGCAGTGGCCTAGGACTTTGCCCAAGAATGGGTTTCCTCAGGCAACATGGAACACAGCCTGCCCCTGCTGAGTTCCTGAGTTAACTGATTGTTCTTACAATCTCAGTGTCCTTTAAACTACTCCTGAGCAACTGGTTCAGAGAGCATGAGGTTAACTGGTCATTCTGAACCCACAGAGCTGCCTGTGACAAGTAGACACGAAACAACTGAGCAATTTACATCCTCTTTGCTTATCCATAAAAGGTTCCAGACCTACGGGCCATGGGTGACTCACTCAGAACCCTCCTGGACATACATCAGGAGCTGTTTCTCTCCTTCTTACTTCCAGTAAACACTCTCCTAACTTCTTCCTTTTGGTCTGCACTTTTGTTTTTCGACTCCTCAAGGCAGCACATCTGGGATTACGCAGTTTGTACGGAGGTAACGACTGCAGATTTGGAGGACCCACGGGGACTAACAGAAGGTAAGGTCCTGACTGAGGAGAGCTTGTCTTTTCCCCTTGTTTCTCCATTTGCAACGTTTTTGTTAACCACGATTCAACCCAGAAGGTAAGTGAGATCTGCACTCTGCTGTTTACTGGAAAGCCTTATGTCTCTTTTGTCATTTCCCTAGTGTTAGAATAGATTGGGAAACAACAATATGCCTCATATAAAAGGACCAGCCAGGCATGGTGGCATAAGCCTGCAACCCCAGCACTCTGGAGGCTGAGGCAGGAGGAGCCCAGTTTAAACTACATAGCAAGACCACATCTCAAAAACTGGAACAAAAAGCCAAAAAGCAAGACCCTACCAACCAATTTTTTAAAAAACAATTAGCACCAGCTGCTGCTGCCAAGTCTCGGGGACAGGTTTCATTGGGGTGGGTGGGATCTGATCCCTCCGTACAGAAGGGCATGTCCAGCCTGCTTGGTCTCCACTTGCTCTCCAGTTTGATTCTCCGTCGGTGAGCAAGCAACATTAGCTCTGGATACCTGGTCTCTGGAGTCTGGCGGCTCTTGGGCAGGTTGTTCCATTAACTCACACTAAGCGATGAGGACTGTTTCACTGCTGTGGCCTCTCATCTCTGACTTTTTTCTGCTGCCCCTTGTCTTTTTCATTTTCTTGGAGGCTTATTTTACTAAAGACCAGAGATGGGCCCTATGAAAGCTTTTAAACCCAATCATGTTTCTCCCGTTGATGTAGTGAGGAGACGGTGCCGGGCCCAGTAGCCACGTTCCCAGGCCTTGCACAGAGTTCCTGTTAGGTTAGGCTTTTCTTCTGCCTCCCCTCCACCGCTCACACCAGGAATAATGCCTGGTGAGGTACTCTGCAAACATCTGGTGCTCATAAGGACAAAAGAGAGACTATTAATCTTTTGAGACAGGGTCCTTACAACACAGATGATTTCACTGATAGAACAAAATACAGTTTTAGGAGCCCTTCAGGGCTTCGTGACAACTTTGGGTGAAACAGATATTAAAGGAACTAACAGCCATAGCCCCCGGTCCCCACAGGGCTGCCCACTCTTGTCATGGATTCTCTCCAAAACACACTGCCAGGCTGACGGTCAAATTCTATACTCAGAGACGCATGGCCTGGGGGTTGACAGAGGCACAACCAACACCCAGTATGAGCCATGGGGTCTCAGGACTGTCAGGAAAAAGGAAGCACAGCACCAGTAAAGGCAGAAAATCATGCCCTGCTACTTCCTTGAGCAGCTCCAGCAGCCAGTGAGGGCCCCAACTTAGAGGATGCCCCAATGGTAGTAATAAAACCAGTTGATGGCAGGGATGTCTTCTCTCTCCTTATTTTTTAGAGTGGGGAATTCAAAGGCATATTCAACTTCCCACACCCCCTTGAAATGCACATTTACACCCTGGAACTCCTTGACCCTCAGACTCTTAAAAAAAAAAAAATGTATTACTTTATCCTCTCCTGCACCCATGCATGGCCTGGACACCCCTGGGACATGGGGCACAGTGGTCACCAGAGAGAAGTATACATTATGACATACCCTTAAGTCAATCCGTACTATCAGAGGGCAAATAGTCAGAAGTTCCCTAGGTAGACATTGTTTGCTTTTAGAGAAGCTTCATACTGAGTGAGCAGTCAGACTGGGTCCCATGTTATACAGGGGCTCCCAAGATCCTGCCGAGGCCCACACAGCCCATCCAAGCCATCCCATCAACCCTGTTCAGGGCCCCAAAAGAAACCTTCAAAGGGTGCTGTGCCCTCTTCGGGAGGGGACAGGGAGAAATCTGTCATCAAGTAAAAGGTTAACCCTTTTCCTTGACAGACCTTGAACAGACACAATCGGATTTAGGATCCCAATAAAAACACATAGTTACTTTGAGGTTTAGCTCAGTCTTTTGATCTAGTTTAAAAGGATATGATGTATCTTTAAAATCAGACATTATAACCTAGTAAAATAAAGCAGCCTTATAGGCAACAGAGGTCTCATTATGAGAGGCCCAATGGTGAGGGGGGTGGGGGGTGGGGTAACATTTCCAGTCCTGCATTCTAAAGGGATTACGGAAAAACGCACTCTAAACCCTTCAATTATTCCAAATTATCAACTATGGATCAAGATAGCAAACAGAATCTTTCAGCCTTTTTAAAAAGACTCCAGGAGGCTTTAAGTATACATTTCTGTCTCCAAACACCACAGAGAGATGAGTAATTATCAAGGGTAAATTCATGGCCCAACCTGCTACAAACATAAGGAAAAAAATTACAAAAAAAAAAAAAAGATAAGGGATCTGGTCCTAATGGAGTCTTTAGACACCCTGGGCAAGATAGCCAACCATGCTTCTCATTAACAGGACCGGGAGAAGGCCAAAAAAGAGAAGTGGGATCAAAACACAACAGCTCCATGAGTGGCTGCCCCTGCCCTGGGCTCTAGAGCTAAAGAAAGCCCACATTCCTCCCTAGCTGATAGCAAAATGGTGAAGAGTCACCCACTTCCGGAAAGAAAAACTGCCCTGAGGCAGAGGTCTCTGTAACCAAACTCAACCATCCAGTTGTTCCAAAAAGACCCGCCACAGGCCCCTCTCTCCTAGATGGTCATCTCCACCATCTCCACAGAGGAGCCCTCAGTAACTCTAATTATAAAAGGGAGGAGCCCCAGTCTCTGTTCTCTAATGCCAGCCCATCCTCCTTGTCCATGCAACCCCTCAGAGGAGTTGCTGAAAAACCCACAGCCAGTGATTTTCCACAGCTCCTTAGCTGCAGCATTTGAAGCAAGGGGACACACATTTTCATTTATCCTGGGCCCCCAAATCAAGAGACCCCTCTTGGACCCAGGCCCCAAGAAAAGGACACTGAGCCCAGGAAAGAATGCCAGTGCGAGCTCTGACATGAGCCACACTCTCAGGTCTGGCCCAGAGGCTGGGGGCCCAAGTCTCCACGACTGCCTTCCAGATGCAGGGCTACGTGGCTTCACGCAAGTGAGAGGACTTGGAGCCTTGATAGCGTAAGAGGAACAGTTACCACACCCCTATCCCCCCACCCCACCCCTGAGCCCAGCAGGCACAATGGCAGCGGGTCTTCATGTGTCAGGTGCAGTGAGCACCTTCCTGGCAGGGACAAGCCACGGCTGCGCTACAGGCCCCAGTCCAGGCTTCTGACAGCTGGCCCGGCCTCCTGCCCTGGCCCACAGGCTATAGGCTCATTCGCTTCCACCATCTGCCCAGTGCTGTCCACTCTCCACTCCCAGGCCCAGGTAAAAGAAATGGGTGTTTGGAGTCATTCTTCTCTTTCTCAGATCTCTCAAGTGGGCTAAAATCTAGGTAAAAGTGTGCTTCCCTGCTGGCAATGGGCAGGGAGCACACATGGTACATGCAGCTTCTCACCCAGACCACCGAACTCTGAGCTCGGCCCTCAGCGGTGCACACCCACAGGACCCTGCAGAGTAGACCCTAGCGAGTCTCGCTGTTCCAGATGAGGCACCTGCTTCTCTTACGGAGATATCGCCCTTGGCTGTGGGACAATCTGTATGGAAAAACAGACCTGCTTGCCTGGGGCCTGGCGCCAGGCTGTGTCCAGGCTTCCATCTTCTCTGACATCCAAAAGGGAGCTGTGGGCTGAGTTCAGAAAGCCCCTGGAGGCATCAGGACTCTGGCACAGGTGGACAAAGCAAGGTCTGACCTTGCCCTGGACACTGCACTCCCAGGGGAGCACCCAGATACCATGCTGGGGGAGCCTCAGTCAGGCCAGCACTGGTTCCTGTGGCTGTGCAGCTGTGGCTGTGCAGGAGGAGGCTGGGGAGGGTTCCAGGGCTCAGGACTAGCACTAAGGTGAAGGAACTGGCAAACTCCAAGCAAAAGGCTCTGGGGGATAGATCAGCCCACAGAGCCACCACAGCAGCGGGTAAGCTCAGTAGCGCCTCTGGGTGCCAAACAGAAAACAGTCCTCCTCTGCCTCAGAGAGAGGGTTCACATCTCCTCCCTTCCAAGGTGCAGAGGGAGTGGACTGGTGAAGGATGGGAGAACAAATTTCTGGGTTGCCCAGTGCCCTGGCCCCTCACTGTTCAGCAGGGACTTGCTGCACAATGAGAGGGCTCTGAGCCCCAGGTACTGGGAAGCTCTTGTTTTCAGGAAGCACCCTGGGCAGTCCCAAAGGTAATGCTAAGCCTGAGCACTTCTGCTCCTCTCAAGTCAGGGAGGCACTGAAGACTCAGAGGCTCACTTCTGATGCTGGGGGGATGGGGAGGCTCCCCATCCTGCACTTGCCCTCACCCATTTGCTGGCTCCCTCCAGGCTCCTTGCCCACAGCTCCTCTGGAGGCTGCAGCATGAATGGCCTACAGACAGCCTCCCTGAGTCTGACCAGCAACTCCTCCCTGGCCCCTGCTGAGCGATGCGGGCAGGAGACTCCCCTGGAGAACATGCTGCTCGCCTGCTTCTACCTGCTGGATTTCATCCTGGCTTTCGTGGGCAATGCGCTGGCCCTGTGGCTTTTCATCCGGGACCACAAGTCAGGCACCCCGGCCAACGTGTTCCTGATGCACCTGGCAGTGGCTGACTTGTCCTGTGTGCTGGTCCTGCCCACTCGCCTCGTCTACCACTTCTCTGGGAACCACTGGCCATTTGGGGAAATCCCGTGCAGACTCACCGGCTTCCTCTTCTACCTCAACATGTATGCCAGCATCTACTTCCTCACCTGCATCAGCATGGACCGCTTCCTGGCTATCGTACACCCAGTCAAGTCCCTCAAGCTGCGCAGGCCGCTCTACGCACACCTGGCTTGCGCCTTGCTGTGGGTGGTGGTGGCCGTGGCCATGGCCCCACTGCTGGTCAGCCCACAGACGGTGCAGACCAACCAAACAGTGGTCTGCCTGCAGCTGTACCGGGAGAAGGCCTCGCACAAAGCCCTGACATCCCTGGTTGTGGCCTTCACCTTCCCGTTTGTCATCACCGTGACCTGCTACCTACTGATCATTCGCAGCCTTCGGCAGGGCCCTCGTGTCGAGAAGCGCCTCAAGGGCAAAGCCGTGCGCATGATAGCCATCGTGCTGGCCATCTTCCTGATCTGCTTTGTGCCCTACCACATACACCGCACTGTCTACCTGCTGCACTACAACGGTGGCAGGGCCTCCTGTGCTGCCCAGCGTGTCCTGGCCCTGGGCAACCGCATCACCTCCTGCCTCACCATCCTGAACGGGGCCCTGGACCCTGTCATGTACTTCTTTGTGGCCGAGAAGTTCCGCAACACCCTGTGCAACCTGCTCTGTGGCAAGAGGCTCATGGGGCCACCTCCCAGCTTTGAGGGAAAAACCAATGAGAGCTCCCTGAGTGCCAGGTCAGAGCTGTGAGCCGTAGGCCCCAGCCTCCAGTGACAGCCTTGGGGCACGTTCCACCCCGCCCAGCAAGAGAACTCCATCTTCTCCCATCTGCCTCGTGGCAAACAACCCAAAATCCCATGGAGATCTGCAGGCTGAGCTCACCTGGCCCCAAGCTCAGTCTTACTCACAAGCAAACTGGAAAGGGAGGACGAACCAGGGGGACTAAATAGCTGCCCCTCTGCAGGGACCCAGATGCTCGGGGACTTCCCCCTCTTAAGAGGGACTAGGGTTCCTTGTTGGCCAGCCAGGCTTGAAGCCTCCTACCCACCACAGTGAAGCCCTGCAGAAAAACCCAGGGCTGCACAGGGCCCAGGAGCAGAGGCAGCATGGCTTTCAGTGGAGGTGGAGGTATCCAGATATTTCCTTTAAAGTACAAGGTTTCTGTAGGTCTCTTAGGGGTGCCTTTGCCAGATGTTCCCTTTCTGAATTTAGGGGACATAAACTAAATTACAGCCAAATGCTGGAAGTGCATTTCAGAGGTTTGCTGTGTGATGCCAAGCAAACCTGGCCCAGCTTGGCTCTGGGTTCCTGCCTCTTCTGGTGTAAACCCACACAGACTTGCTATAGCCTGACAATCCGAGCTCCTCAGCAGGAGAAGGCAGCCTCGCCAAGCACACAGCATGGTGGACAGTCACCAGGAGTCCTCCTCAAGCAGGTACTGGTATGTGAAGTTCTCTCCTGATAATTCAGACCAGGCAGGCTACCCTAAACCTCTCTCCCTCCCAAGAAGCCCCCAGCCTCTGCTGTCCCATTTTGCGCCTTCCCTTGGTAGCATCTCTATGCCATCCTAACACGCCCTTTATATACTTGTTTGTGCAGATTATAAATATAACTGTAGCTTTAAGATTTGTTCAATGTGGTGCCCTCCCTAGAACTTTGTTCCCTTTGACCTGACAATGGCAAACAAGTCACAGGCATCAGAGACCGAAGCAATACCATAGCTCCCTCGCTATGGGCCTGGTGGCACTGAGGGGTCTCTACCCTACACAGACTCTCAAGTCCCACGTGGTGGGGTTGTATGTGCTGGTCAGAGTCCTAACCATGGATCGGTACTCACCACCTCAGCTGGCACCCACCCCTGTCCTTACAGCAGCTCTGTGCTCTCCCACCACATTGTACTTTCCAGGGCATTTCAGCATTCTGTGATTTTCTCAACCAGGCAGGTGGCAGCCCTCAGCAAGCCTTAATTCAGAAAAGCTGCAGGAAGAGCTTTAGGCATGCTGGGAGGCATGCTGGGAGTGGCTTGGATGGAGACACCTCACAGGGGCCTGCAGCTGTCCCAGACCACAGAGGGAAGGCAGGCTCATCCAGGAAGGTGAGCGCTTCCCTCCGAGGTCAGGGCCTTGGCTTTAGGGCAAAGTCAGGCAACACTCAGCTATGTGAGTGCAGGTAAACAGGCGCAGGGGCCTGCACACTGCAGCGGCCTGGAGGAGGTCAGGTCAACTCCAGGCTCCCCCTCCCTCAGCTGTCTCCCAGCCCTGCTCCCCACCCCTTCTCCCTACTCTCCCTGGAGCAACCCAAGCTGGGATGGGCCCTGCCTCTCACACTCTCCCTCTGCAGCCTTAGTGGCACCTGTAAACTGGGGCTTACCATCCCCTCACAAGGACACAAGAGACCAGCAGCCAGTCTGGAGGGTGCCTGGGGCCCGCACAGGGCACATATGGCAAGGTCCTCCTCTCTGCTCAACCTTCTCACCTGCCCGCGTTCTTCACGAAGCCCAGGTCTGCCAGCTCCACATCACACAGCTCACAGCGGAAGCATCCGGGGTGCCAGTTGGTGTTCATGGCCTTGATAACACGGCCAATGATGAATTCACCTGGAAGAGAAGAGGTCCCTGCTTCCCAGGCAGTGCCTGGTGCACCTATGCCCTAGCCACCTGAGCCCTCCGCCTAGGCCCAGCTGGGTCTGAGCCACCCCACCTGTGGCACAGGCAGCTGTGCTCATAAGGCAGGTTGAGCCCCCAAGCTGGGCCAGTTTCATGTAGCCCACACCCCCTCCCATATCCCAGCGCCACAGGGCATCCCTGTCACCAGCCCTCACCACAGGAACCGCAGCAAGGAGCAAACAGCATCTGGAAGTCATGTTCACAGTATTTCCGGCCCTCGAACTGCAAAGGGACACAGACAGAAAACAAGTACAACCTGGCATTCAGAGCAGATGCCCCCACCCGACCTCAGCCAGGTCAGAGGCTGACAGCAAGTGACAGGGTACAGAATAGAGACCTCTCCAGGTGAAGGCAAGAGCGGGCAACTGGCCCATGTCACACATGTGGGTGCTGAACCTCGAGACCAGCACTCAGACAACCTCGACCAGCCACTAAGGCCCTGGGGATTCTGCTGGGGAGAGAGGCACGTGTTCGAATTTTGCCCCATTTCCTGTGTCCTTCCTGTGTAAGAAACTCCCCTCCCCAACAGCTCAGAAAAGACTCAAGGAGGGGAGAGCAAAAGGAGGGGACACAGGAAGGGAGTTCCGGGGAGAACAACCAAGTCCTGTGGCCACAGAAGTCCCTGTGGAAATAGCCAGCAGCCACCATCTGACAGCAAGGTCCACTTACTGGCCCCAGGTGCAGGGGCCTCTGCCTCCCTCTCCATCATAATTTTTTTCTTTTTGAAAATCTGGAGTTCTCGTTTTCTAGAATGAGTGCTTTGGACTGCAACTGGCAGGCATGGGATCTAAATTCAGCCAGCGAGGCAGTCTCCCAAGCACCTTCAGTGAGCTGGCTTTGCTCCCCACCTGTCCCTGAGCTCTGCCCACCCTCCCGTCACTGCTCCAGGGGCCGACATTTCTCAGAAGATGGCAGGGGACCACGAAGACAGGCCCCGTTTGTCAGTAGGTCACACACCCCATATCTACCTACCAACCTTGGTTCCACCCCAAAAGTCATGCAGCACGGGCCCCATGTCCCCTGCAGACACCGTGCTGGAAGGTGTGCAGCAGCCAGGCGCCTGGCCACTGCTAAAGACCCAAGTGGTGGGGCTGGGGATTTAGCTCAGTGGCACAAGTGCCTGCCTTGCAAGCGTGCGGTCCTGAGGGTTCGATCCCCAGTACTGATTTAAAAAAAAAAATACAAAAACAAAAACAATTCAAGTGGAGCTGAGAGATGTGCCATCCTGCAATGCAGGCAGAGAAGACAGAATGACTCCAGAAGCACATATGACAGTGAAATACAACAAAATTACCAGCAGGTGGGGAGTTTGAAGTATTTCTCACCTTTGTTTAATCAGGTGTTATTTCAATGTGCATGTATATAAATAACTTAACTTTTAACAACGGCCATATTTAACAACAGTTTGCAAAGTGAAGATTTAACCACCTGCTCTTGTGAGCCAGAGCATACAGGTCTTCACTTTCATTTGGATTAGACCAATAATTCTGGTCTCTAAGCTCCCATCCCCACCACCTGCACAGGTCAGGCCGATAGCGCAGCTCGAGGCTCCCCACCCTGGTTGAACAGGCCTTGCGGAGTAGAGACCTGTGGCCCTGTGCAGGGGCACAGAGGGCAAGGACAGCCGCCTCCCTGCCCCCACCTCTTGCCATTCTCCCCCTTGTTTTCTGCCACTTCCCTGTGTGCCCCAAGTGCTCCCCACTAGGGGGCCTGGGCCCTCTGCCAAATGCTCTTCTGGTCACCTGAACATCATCCTTCCTGACTACCAAGCTCCCATTCTGGGATTTCTTATCCCCAGTTCACATGCACCATCTGAGAGGCCACTCCATCGCTATGCCCACCACCGGACCTCAGGGAGGGCACTGCCATGTGAGCAGGGTCTCCACCCCCCATGCCACCCAGAGGAGCTGGGGGAGGCTCCCAGGTGAGTGTGCCCACATGGTGTGCCAGGTGTACCCCATGCTGCAGGAGCCCAGCAGGTGGCAGCATGTCCTCACCTCATAGAAGAGCCCCTCGGGGAATGGCCGGAAGCACTGGGCACACACGAAGCAGTGCTCATGGTACAGCTCCCCGCTGCTGTTGACGATGCGCTCGGTGGGGCCAAAGCGGGCCTGGCAGCGCTGGCACACAGCATTGGCCAAGGCATCAGACATATTGCTGAAGGGCAGAGGGGTGGGGCGAGGTTAGGACTGGGGGCTCACATGGGTGAGGTCCACGGACAGCGCCACACAGGTTTGCAGCGCTTTCCAAGTCCCCTTAGGCCAGCTGGGGCTTCGCAGGTACTCAGTGGCACACAGCCAAGGCCAAGCCACCTGGCACCAGCTTGAGTCACCCGGTATGGCTGCCATGTGCCTCTCTCCTGTGCCCACCATGCAGCACAGCCTGAGCGCTGGCGTGCTAGGAACACACTGTGCACTCAGACCGGGCCGGGGGCATCTCCACCTACAGACGTGGGAGCAAGGCCCACAGGGCACAGGCAAAGCCAGCTGGAACTTTCCCTCCTCCAGAGCCTCAGTCTGTGCTGCACTGCTCGTCTATGAAGCATCCCACGTAGGGCGGGCATCAGCCAGGTACATGCTGCTGAGTCAGAGCCACTGGGACTCTGCGCAGAGGCCACACTCCCACCCATGGCCCGAGCAGTGGACAGGCCACCATCATGCCGTGCCATGGATTCAGGCTAGTGAGATGAGCTACACACACTGGGCAGGGCGATGGGCAGCTCACCAGGGCCACCAAGCCAGGCCCCCATGCTGCCCAGACCACGGAGTTGGGCCACCTCTCGGGGTTTAGAGACTGTCCCAGCATCCTCTTGTGTTCTGTCCTCACCCCTTCCTCAGAGGATCAGAACCACCCAGGCACAGTCCTGAGGCAACTCTGCAGCCACTGGTGTTGTCACCATCCCTGAGAACCAGGTGTGAGACTCAGACACATTAAGTAACTTGCCCAAGTTCACACAGTAGGTGACAGAGACCAGCTTGGAACCCAAATTACCAGGGGTCAGAAGTTCGTTCCTTTGCATCATGAGTTAGTGTCAAATCAACACATGTCCCAAAAGCGTGGCCACCACCATGAAGACAAGGATGTGAGTCTCTGGAGTGGCAGTGGAAGATCGCACCCATGCAGGGCACTGCCCGTCAGAGGCAGGAGTGGCGGCCTTCCTTCTGGGAGAGGAGTGGAGACTGAACTACAGTGGCTGTCCTGATGGACAATTTCACTTCCCATATTTTCAGTTGCCCACTGACAATACTCAAAGTCCCAGGCTGGGGTGCAGCGTATCAGTAGCACAGCACACATGTGGCATGCGCAAAGCTCTGGGTTCAATCTCCAGCACTAAAGAAATGAACATTCCAGGGCTGGAGGTGAAGCCCAGCAGTGGATGCTTGTCTACTATGTGCTGGCCCTGGTTTCCATCCTCAGCACCAAAATAAACAAATGGAGGAAAACATTCTAGAAATAAATAACTGATATGTCTTTGTATTCTGCTTGTTTGGGGCACTGGAGGTTGGAGCCTTTGGACTGAACTACATTGCCAGCCCTTTTTTGTTTTTCATTCTGAGACTGAGTTTCATTAAGTTACCCACAATAAACTCCCATCCTCCTCCTCGACCTCCCCAGAGGGACTGCAGGTATGAGCTGCCACTGCCAGCTAACACCTTGTAAGCTTTAAACTGTGTGCCATGCTGAGCACCAGATGCACAGAGGAGCGTGGTTCGTGCAGGACACAGGACTAGCCATGGTTTTAGGCCTCTGCTGGAAGTCCTAGGCTGTGTCCCCATGAATGAAAAGAACCAGGCTGAGCCAGGCTCCACTCTAGCGCAGGGGCCCTGAGGCACAGCCAGAGGGAGGGTGATGCCACAGATGGTCACACCTGCAGTAGGCGCAGCAGAGAAGGGAAGGGTGTGAGCTCAGCTTTTTCTGTTCAGCCTGTCCTGCCTCCCAGGGATGGCTCCTTCCATGGCTCCTTTTCAGCCATGCGCTGGGAGAGGAGCACCTGAGGGAAGAGCCTGGCCTCCAGTCTGCAGCCTGCACAGTAGGCAGGACCAGGCTGAAGGGTGCCAACCACAGCAAAGGGGCCCTAGGACCAGTGAGACTGGAGAGAAGGAAGAGGGCTGCCTTTGGCCTGGTGTGGGCTGGGAACAATGGCTGCTACAACAGATCGCTACCATGTAGAGACAGATTGGGGACGGGGAAGGCACCCCAGGTGGGATGTCCTGTCTTTCTTATTTGGGAAACCATGTAATAGGCCAGCACCAGAAAGCCAATGAACAAAGCTTATCAGACATGCTACACTTCTGTGTGTGTCCCAGCCTACCTTGAGCTTTGGGGGCCAAAGCCACCTCCTGTGTCCATATTTACACCAGAGCAACAAAGAAGCAGGCACGGTGGGGCAGGAGTCAGGAAGAGCCCAAGGCAAAGCGGAGGCAAGGGGCCAAGCAGCCACTCCCCTATCTTCCAGCTTCCCGCTGGTCTCAGCGAGGTGGCCCAGGCAGGCCATCAGGGACCAAGGACAAGCCACCCTGAGCCACCCTGGAGGGACACACTGGGCTTGGTTGGAACGGATATTTCCTGCCCTGGAACACTGTGTGCCTCCTCCTCTGGAGCACACACCCAAAGTGACAGGAAGGACATTCCAACCCTGGATTGTGAATGTGACCACTGGGTCTTAGAGAGATCAGAAATCAACAGGAAATCCTGACTGTGAGGCTGCAAAGATCCCACTCCAAAGACCCAGAAAAGCACAACTGAGGATTCAGGTCAAAATATTTTGTTAGAACCTGGGTGTAGCCCAATGACATTGCCAAGGTGCTGAGAGGGCCATGGATCTGAGAAGGAGAAGCTGGTCTCAGGAGTTGCCACATGCTCTGTGTCTGCCACTTGAGCTTTTGAGTTTCTTTTGCCAGTTCTGTTGTCAGTGTGACTTAAGTGTCTTTGATAAAAAGAAGTGAAGCCACCTCTGGAGCAAAGTGTGCCTCGAGCTTCCGAAGGAGCTCAGGAACCTCTTAAGCCTAACCCCCTGGGCTCCCCTGAGACCACATAGCACAGCCCACCGGTCACTTGCCCTTTGAGACCCTTAGCAGGTGCTAAGGTTTGGAGTAGGCACTCATGGACTCTTGTCCTCTGGCTGCCAGCTGAACTAGAGGACAGCTACATAAAGGGAGCTGTTGTTTTCCAGCCACTCTGGCAGCCATAAGGAGTCTCTCTAGGCATCCAGGCCCTGGACAGCCCCGGGAGGCCTATCCTCCCCATGGAGGGCAGAGGGTCAGAGACTGGGACATTCCAGCCTCCTCCTCACATTCCACCCAAGATCAGGATGCACCAAGCCAGCCCAGTTGCCTCAAGGAGACACCACCGCCCCACTCCAGCTGTACAGCACCACCTATGCCAAGGGCCAGGCCCCAGGACTGCTCCCCAGCACCCACACCCTCCGTCCAGACGAACACATTGCATGATGTCCTGAGCACCTGGTGACTGGGTGAGACAGAGGGTACCAGATCCTTGTAAAGGGATGACACTGGTGCAGATGAGGACACTAAACCAGTGGTAGCTGAGGGACCTGGAGAAGGTCACACAGGACTAGAGTCTCCACCCCCTCTGCTCCCATGTTCCCATGGGCATGGTCACTGCAGGGAAGGATGTTCTGGCCACACAGGGCATGAGGTGGAACTACAGAAGCCATGTTCGCCTGGTCAGGGGCAGGCCCATCATATGTGCCATACAGCCAAGCAGAGCAGGCTGCAAAGCTGCCAGACACTCCCTGGCCAGCAAGCCACAGCAAAGTATTCTCCAAACCTCAGCCTTCTCTTTTGTAAAATGGGCTCACTTCAGCTGTCACCAAGGATTTCTTGGAGGGCTAAGCGAGGTGATGCCTGTGAACACAGCCCATCGTAGGCACTGTGAGCAAGAGTACCCCTCCCCTCCTTGCCACATACCTGGATTCCAGGCACTAACCCCAGGCTCAGTGTGCTGTCCCAGGGGGAACTTCCAGTGCCAGCAGCTCCAGTCCCCCAGTGTTGCCTGACTTTCCCTCCTGCCCCCCCCCCCAGCAGGGCCAGCCAGAGGCCAGCATCAGGAGTCACCTGACTGCCCACAGTGAACAGGGATTTGCACAAAGCCAGCCCCATGCCCTGCCACTAGAAAGTCAATTAGCAGCACGGGCTGCTATGCACACAACGCATTTCTGCATTCACATCAGACATGTATTCCAAGGCCCTGAGCCTAGGTTGCAGTTCCTGAGCTCCTTCGGAAGCTCGAGGCACACTTTGCTCCAGAGGTGGCTTCACTTCTTTTTATCAAAGACACTTAAGTCACACTGACAACAGAACTGGCAAAAGAAACTCAAAAGCTCAAGTGGCAGACACAGAGCATGTGGCAACTCCTGAGACCAGCTTCTCCTTCTCAGATCCATGGCCCTCTCAGCACCTTGGCAATGTCATTGGGCTACACCCAGGTTCTGAAGCCCACCCACTGGTGTGATCTCTGAGCCACCTGTGCCCTAGCCACTCAGGCATCACAGGTCTCAGCACAGATGTCCAGAGTGCTGCAAAGGCCCACCCATGGGATTCCCCCTCCATCTGCACTCAGCTCAGGTGAGTTACCTGATCTCCTGAGCCTCGGATTCCCTATCTGAGCAATGGGCTTGCCCTGCCTCATCCTTCTAAAAAGGGGCCTGTAGCTGTAAGCTCGGCAGGAGCTCTGCACACGGCCCCTCTGCAATTGCAGGTCTGTCTCCCCACCTTGTCCTCTGTTCTCTGCTTCTGTCCTCAGCAGGAGACATCTTCAAGGCTCATCCTCTATCCCCCTCCTCCCAAAGCCTGCCCTGACCTGAGGCACACAAGGAGCTCTGTTTTTCAAGGGTATCATTTACCCCAGACTCCCTGCCCTCCAGGCCCTCCTCTACCCTCCCCTGTGTCTATTGCTCCCAACTCCCTCCCTGGCTCCCCCAAGCAGCCCCCTACTCCTCCTCTGTGGGCTGCTGCACCCTAATTCCCTCCCCAGTTCTGTCCCTCAGGCTGGCCCCAGACACTGCAAACTCAAGCGTCCAGTCCTTCATCCGTTACCCTCAGCACCCTCCTCAATCATGTTAACCTGCCCTCTGCGAACCCCTGAGGACCACCCTGCACCCTGCTGTCCTGCCTCCCAGCCCAAAAGGTGGCCTTCCACACAGTGATCCTGCTGGGAGGAGAGGCTCAGCAGCAGCAGCATCTCCAGGGCTCAAGCCACAGCCCAGTCATTTTTGGCTAGGTAATGTCCAGCGGTTCCTCCACTCCACTCTGAGCCTAGATTTGCTCCTCTAGATGACAACAAAATCACCCCAATTGAAATCCACAATGGGGGTGACAAGGACAATTGCTCTCCCTGCCATACTCAGCTTGTCCTGCTTAAGAAAGCTGATCACAGAAAACCTCAAATCCAACTGCCCCAGTGGCACATGCCCTCCCAGTCACCAGCCCAGGTCCCTGCACCAGGCCCAGTCCAGTCCAGCACCCTCTGAGACTAGGCCCTTAAGCCAGCCTTCCGGCCATTGTCTTGGGAACCCGCCCTGCCTCTCCCCACCTACCCAGGCGCTGCTGGCCACAGGCCCAGCCGGTGCAGGCGCCTCTGGTACAGCCCCGAGGCAGTGAGCGCACCCAACCAAGTTGCCATGGCTCAGCGATATGGTATGGTGCAGGTGGCCCGTGAGGCACCAGGCAGGTGAGGCTCAGACCCAAGCCTGAGAAGACATGGGCGGGCAGCAGTGTGGCCCAACAGGAGCTCAAGTTACACACTGGGCTCTCCAAAGGGCAGCCAGTCAGCTCTACATAGAAAGAGTATTGTTTAAGAGTCTCAGCAAATGTGAGGCTGGCCATGACCCCGCCCGGAAGGGCACTGCGTGGGGAAGGTTGTAGACCTCCTGGGTGCACTGATAGTGCCAGGGCAGGGTGCTCTGGAGGTTTCAGGCTGCTGTCTTCAGCATAGGAGGGAACCTGAGGCCTCTGAACACTGTGAGGAGTGCAGTGTGGCACTGGGCCAGGTCAGGAGTCCTCGGAACAGTTTGTATGGGAGAGGGCACCCATACAAACCCTTTTCTGCCCTGCTGCTTCCCCAAGGGCTTAGGGTCACAGATGCCACCCAAGGTGCCCAGACCAGAGAAATTCCCATCCTAAAACCTGACCAACAAAAAGTAAAGCACTCCAAAAGAGGTCTACAATGTCCACCTTAGAAAAGGTGGTCCCCAGATGCCAGGGAGGGCAGAAGCAGAGGGATTTTACCTGCAGCAGCTGCTCTGGTCACTTGCCATTGAAGTTCAAGGACCCAGCGGCAGCAACAGACCAGTGGCCTCGGTGACACAGTAGGCACTATGGCTCCAGAGAGCCCACAGAGCTCTGTGATGCAGATCCCATTTCCCTGAAACAAACTTTTTTTTTTTATACTGACAATTGAACTTAGGACCTCGCACTTGCCAGGCAGGCGCTGTAGCACTGGGCTAAATCCCTGACCCTGAAAAATCTTTTTAATAAGGTCAGAAACTGTGGATAGTATTTTCCTCTGCCTTCCCAAAGAAAGAGACAGGAGTCATCACTCCAGGCAGCTGGTGGCCCTCACTGGAGCAAGGAAAACCTTCCTGGGCTTTGCTGCTGTCTGATGCCAGACCCACGCAGCAGGGGACTCATCGCCCAGCAGATCCACCCTGGGTGCAGCCTAAGACACAGTTAAACAACCACAAGGATTGCATGTAATACAACTGGTAATTGCAGCCCACTGCCAGTATTACCTAACACTGATCAATCCAACAAATATTTTTTAAAGGTGGCCCCAGGGGCTAAAGGGCATACAGAAGCAAGGCCTGGAAAAGCCAGAATGTCCAAACATCTACCCTGTGCCTCAGAGAGTGGAGGTCAGTCTTCTGACAGCTCAGGCAGAACATTCTTTAGGACAGCTCGCAGTCAGAGCCTCTGCATACCGGCCTCTCTCACTGCCCTGGTTCAGGCCCTGCCATACAGAAATCCTGAACCCTAGGACCCACAGCTGTCACCCAGAGCCATCATAGTACTTAGGGAGGGAATGTTTATTTGGGGGCCTTGGAGCCAGACATAGACCTGAGAAAAAGCTGATACACTTCAGCTCTGGAAGTCCCCTAAAGACCGATGGGATAAAGACTTAGTCTCCAGTCCATGGTGTGATTAGGACACAGAGGAACCTTTAAGAGTTGGAGCCTGGAGGGAGGTCTTCAGGACACTGGAGAAAGGGGATAGGAGGAACCCACATTCTGCCTCTTTCTCTCTTAATTTCTGGCAATGAGGTGAGCATGATAATGTGTTGCCACGGGCAAAAACAACATCAGTCAGTCTGAAACCATGAGCTAAAACAAAATTACCTCAGATATTTGTTACAGTAATGGAAAACTAACACAGAAGCTAGAGCGGCAGACATTCTGTATAACATAATACATTAATGAAGTTCAAGTAAAGGCTACCAAGTATTAATCAATTCAACACACATCTGCTATAAATGGGGACACCAGAGGCTAGAATTGAAAGTGGCTTAGAGTACAATTGAGCC